GTGCCTGGTGCCAGTATCTACTGCAGATGTTCTCAGAACTTCTGAAGTTTGTAGAGTCTCTGCATCTATCAGATATTTGCAAGGCATACTCTTAAGATTCCTCAAGATCCTTAAGTTTTTTTTTTTTTTGTCTTTTGAAAGGCTTGGTCCAATTTCTTGGTCTAATTTCTTGGAGCCTCCTCGGCTGAAGATACATCCGAATCAACTGCGAAAAGGAATGGGACTACCGTGGCAGAGTTGGCTACAGCCATCTTCAAAGGCACCAGAGATAAATGAATAGTGCGAGCGCTTCTTCAAGGAAGCTCCCCCTGCCGCCTGCGTCATAAGTAGTAGCTACTTAAGCTACTAGCTACCCAGCTACCTCTGGCGGCCTACCCCCTCCCCCCGGGCTTAAAAGAATACTAGCTTCTTGTTACTACTAGTAAGGCCAGGAGCCCCTAGTAGCTTCTTGCCCCTAGTAGTAAGGCACTTGATATTACAAGCTTCTTGTTACTACTAGGAAGGCACTTGTTACTACTAGCGTGGCACTTGTTACTACTAGCTTCCTGGTGGGTCAACCGATCGCAGTTTTTCAACGGACGCAACGAGGACCATTCCGAGGAAACTTCCTCTGCCACGGTGCCCTTTAAGGAAGTCTGGACGGAGGCTGCTTGGAGGATGCTCAGGGAGGAGCGACATTTTGGATCCAAAAGATGCATGCTTATTTGTTATTATAGGACGCTACTAGGAGCAAAGGGCATCGCTACTAGGAGCAAGGACGCTACTAGGGGCTCCTGGCCTTACTACTAGGAACCAGAAGCTATTAGAAAAAAGAAATAAGTATGATGTGTAATGGGCATACCGTACCGTAAAGATATCAATCTCCAGGTTCCCTACTTTGCCTGGCAACATCTGCCTGGGAACATCTGCCTAACCCAGAGCCGAAAGTGCCATTCTAGTTTTGCAGAACAATTTACGAGTTTTGACCCCTTTCCTTCATTGCTGCTCCAAGATTGATACAGCCAGAGACCTCTCCAAACATTTTGTCGAGTTTCATTGTAGATTGGTCGATGTGATACTGTAGTGGGTCAACGGTCAACAGCCTTGTAGAACACCATTTCATTTCACAAGTATACACAGTACTACAAGTTCCTGAAGTAGTGCCAGCATTACATATCCTATACGAGATCATAGCATGCCCTATTTCTGATGTAGAAGATTCCGGGCACCTGCAAAGTGCACGAATCCACAGGCACGCGGCCGGGTGAATGGAGTGCCACGAAGGCCTTGTGGTGACGTGGTTTGGAGAACGGAACACAGGGTGAACGGTTACCGAAGATGACTGAAGGTGTGAGTCCATTGATGAAGAAAACATATGGCAGCCATCCACCTGATGACAAATGATTCATTTTCTTAGTTCCTTTTTTTTAACCACCCAAAGGGATAGACGATGACAGCCGATGATAGAACACATTCATTTAAGGCTAGCTCTTAAACTCGTGCAACACTTCGGATCAACAAGTGGGAGTTGAAGCGAAGGGTGTTTTTTTTGCGGCGGAAGCAGTCACGATCAGCTGGGGTGTGGAGACTCAACTGAGGGGGGGTACCGGTATGTCCTTTGGGTCTCTATGGCAAACCTCCAATATGTTCAATATGGATGGAACCATGGGGAAACCGATTTCTCGGACATTCAAGTGGGACTGCTGCAATGTGAGGTCCCTTTAGCTATTTGAGGTCCTTTAACGGTCCTTTCGATCTTTTGCGCCCTCGATTCCGATTTTCGTCGTGACTCAAAAGCGTGAGCTGATGTGATCGCTTACTTTCTTCAGCATTCTAAGTTGGTGTCGAAGCTGAGCTAGCACTGACAACCGACCATGCTCTTCCATGTTGGGAACACGCCGTCGGAGATTGAACGACCAACTATTGCCATGCCTATACTTAATGGACCCAGCGAATACAGCAAGTTTTTCCCACAGCTATAGGAGCTATAGAACCAGCGAATACGTCAAGTTATGCCATAGCAGCTATGGGTTTCTTACTTTTGAGTATAGAATGAGTTGGCCGCGGGCTTTGGAGACGGTGTTGGTGCAGCTACTCTGGGCACGGTGGTGTGCTGCTGCAAATGCTGCTTCCCCTGCAAGTGACTTCAAAGCACCCTTTCGGCCAGCCAGTCTCCGTAAACAAGCCTGACCTAGCTTCCCAAATGCTTGCCCAGAAGCCCCTGCCACCATGAACAGCAGTCAATCAATCATTAAAACAAACAGCACATAATATAATACCTTCTCTCTGTTTGCGCACACACCTTTACAATCCTTTACAGCATAGTTTAACCAGCTTTGCAAGCATTGACAAAAGCCATTCTCGGTAAAAACACGCCACCCAAACACCTTTTTGGAAAACCATTTGGGCAACATAGAATTTTATCTACCTGCGGCCTTTGCTGGTTCTATCCGCTCTATATATCAGAGGCGCACTCGCCGCACTGCACAGAAAGATTAACCATGTCACAACATGTTATGTGGAAATCAATCCTATCTGAACCATCGTTCCAGGTGGTCTCCATTCTCAGCATGCGACCACCTGAGGATTTCTGGCGGTGGTGATGAAGCACCTGGGCGTCTCAGTGAAATTGGCCTCTTGAGTCTGCCAACCCCGTGTGTCTCAGGCTACCAACTACCAGTCGCGTCCGCGGCGGAGTCGGAGTTTAGGTCACAGAGCGGGTGGTGGCACTTTCGCTCAGGTTGGCGGGTTGGCGACAGGACATAGAGTATATTCGGAGCCATGAGACACTGGTTTGGGAGCCATGTCCGGATACCCACCCCCCATTCAGCCAATTTCCTCTGTTTGGCTTGAGAGAAAGACACGCGAAAAAACCGGTTTCTATGAAGTCTTTGAAAGATTGAACTGTCTGCAGCAGAGTCCAGCATCAATGAGTCGTGTCCCAACGATTTATGGATGCTGAAAATGCGATCGACGACATCCAACCATTCCCCCGAACTTGATTGGAATATCAAGTTGGCAGCAATGAACTATGCCAAGACCTGGGATTACTACTTGTTGAGACCCGCATGACCCGCATGACTTGTTGCTCAGCTTTGCGCTGGCAATGCACTCGAGCATAATAGAGGATTAATAGAGGTGATTGCCTCTGAGGCTTTCCCAATCGATTTTCCCTTGACGTCAGCTGATGTATCATCACAAGGCACGTTTTTTGCTTTTCGAGTGGACAATCTGCAGTCAGTAATTACTCCATTGAGGGTTTGGGTATTTTAAAAGGGGCGTCAAACATGGTCGACGTTTTGTACTACGTACCAAACACTTGACCTGGGAACGCAAGATTTCCATGGGGTAGAGTGAACCGAGATTAATTGACCCTCATTACACCTAGGAGGCACGAACCTCAGCTCGTGACAAGCAGACATCACAGCGATCATTCCATTGTAGTTCTGCAGGAGACATTGCTGAAGTCAATGGTTCGCGCAGGTTTCATTTGGTGCTGCGCCCCTTTTCCAGTCCACACGTTAGGGTTTTGTGCCACCGGGGTGGTTTTTTCGCATCTCCACAACAGAGCACAGACTCTGGTGGCACAGCGGGCGGTGGCACAACCCTAAGTTTAAGCGAAAGAACCGCGCAAGGCAGCAACAGTTAGGTGGTGCTGCTAGCATTTCGATGCATCGAAGTAGTAGGCAGCTGCCTATGCAAGCCAAGCATTCTCGCATGTCATTCAACCCGATTCCGCAGCTTTGTTTGAGGCCCGGCTGGGTGCTAAGTGGTGACACGCTGAAAAGCAAACAACTGGGAAAGAATTGGCACAACTGTTCTCATTGATCCTATAGGTTTTCGTTGTCACCCAAAGAACCCGCCCATGCTACTTGTCAAGGGGACAACATGGCAAGAGCTGGGCTGTGTAGAAGGATAGGATGGCTGAAATCTTTGTATGGTGTCGTCTATCCCTGATTGTTTTGATGGCGCATCTGTTAAAGCAGGTGATCGAAGAATAGGATGTCCATTTTGGACCCGGACGATTCTGCAATTGTACAGATCCAGTGGCTATTGGACACGTGTTGTAGATGCGTTCAGACCCAAGGTTTAATGCCCATTCAAGGCAATGGCTTCTGCTCTGACAATGTGCAAAAAGAGCGGCTTCAGATTGTTCACCAGGGTTGCTTTCTCCGGTATTCTTTACAGCTGGCTACCCCTACACTGCAAAGGTTTTTTGAATATTCAGCTGGGGCTCATTTGGGGGTTGTGAAACTGGTGGAGGAGAGACTCCCTGAGAATCCACAGGGAAGACATTCTCTTTGCTGAGGTGTGGGGTGAAGGGGAATCAGCCACACAGGTCCTCCAAGTTGGATTCTGCAGGATTTTCTCATTGTCAACCCCATGGAAGAATGAACAAAGCAACATGTCGTATATTGATAGATGGCGGTCCATTTTTCCGGTGCCGATTCAGAAAACGCCTCGCTCCTGCGCTCCTCTGCCCAAGCTTTGGCTCAGCACCATTTGGTTGTGCAAAAATTCTGGTTGACTAAGTCTCAACCACAGTCCTGCGGGGCCCTCAGCGCAAAGAGTCTCAGAGACACAGCCTCGTGAAGATGTATCGGCAGTGTAGAATGCCCTTAGATGACGTAGTGTGGTGCGCATTACAAGGTTGTTTCGGCGCTGATGGAATCTGATGGAACAATGATTTTAACTGAACATCTAGGCACCAAATCATTGGTGCGAGCGCTTCTTCCTGCGCCCATACTAGTAGCTGAAGTAGCTAGGAGCATCTAGGAGCTTCCTCTTAGCGGCCGACCCCCCGGGCTAAGAAAAAGACACAAACATGTCTAAACAAGAGATGTCTTCAACAAGAACGGGGGGTCATCCTTGTTATGACTTACCTGCTGTTTGGCGACGCCTTCAGCCGGTCTAACGGCATCTGTTTGTTTTGTTATCAATTTGCTCAGTGATAATTGCTCGTCCCTCCCCCTGTCCGGCTGTAGCACATGAATTTTGAGGCCTTTTCCTCTTTGGTGACAATGGAACGCCGCTCATTTTTCAGGCGGCAGGGCGTTTTCAGCCTTTTCTTCTCTTGAGAATGCCTGAGCAAAAGTGAACTGTTTCTGCCCGTGCAGCACCTGTTGGAATTCGGATCTCTCAAAACGCTCCACACCCCCCCGAAACTCGCAGCCCACCATTCATGGCAGTCACATCTTTTTCTCGTGTTGCTTCTCTCGCTGTCAGGCCCGCCGTCGACTTTGATGCCCTGAGCCCCTTGAGTGACAGTGACCATGAGGTGAGACTGCACCGGTCGAATATTCACTTCGCACACCGAAAGAAGGATAGGAAGGCACTGATGTGTTTGTGGGAGTGTTTGTTTAGTTTGCTTGCGCTTGATTGAATTTGCACTTTTGCCAGATGCATTACCGTCACCATGGGTTCACTAAAGCAGGTGTAGCAGTTGTGGTTCCATAAATGGTCCGCAGGCAGATTCCGCAGGTACAAGACACGTTCTAGGCTCAAAAAGCAAGGCCACACACATATAAGTAACCACTTTTCTAGATCTTTGCAGCATTGGTGCTCCAAAATCATTCAGTTTTGTCGATATATTTTTGTTCCTCTTCTTGAGGAAAGGCCGCGGTCCTAGTTTATTGTTAAGACAGAGTCCGGCCGGCCCGCCACTTTTTCCTGGCAAAGAAGACCAATCCCCTTTCATATATACCAATCCAAAAGAGATTAACTGTACCAAGTATATCAAAACACCTCGAAGAGGCGACGTCGCGATGAACGGGAAATCATCCCAGGTCCCGAGAACAGTCAGGTGCACAAGAAAGGCCACAGTCATGTCTCCCACCGACCCTTGGTAGGCCCAACATATCCACAACCCCCATACCCAGAACATGCAAAGCGACATGCACGAAAGCTCACGGCCACATATCAGCGCGTTTGATCCGTCTCCGAAAACAAGACTGTGGTAGTCATGTTCGTACAGAATTTTATCATATATTATACATCATCATCATATCTAGCGAATCTAGCCTCTGCAATCCCTGGTTGCGTCACCAGTATGAAATCTGGCCACAGCAGGTGTTGCCACACATCAATGTATGTTCCCTGGTTGTATGGATTTCCACGCTTAAGACTTAACACTTGATAAGGTGTGCTGAATTCCTGTCAGTTGATGGACTCTTTTACTGTCACTTTCCCTGTCGTGAGTCTTTTCACCTCGCCATTCAGGCAAACCCCACATCGAAAGTCCCGCTTTTCACGTGCGCCGAAGCTTTCTCGCGCCCCTAAGCCCTTGGACGTTCATGTCGAACTGCTGTTGCTGTTTCCGAACGGCTGCGGGAGGCCGTTCGGCCTCCCCAGGCCCCCACACCCGCGTAGACCGATCCGAACCGGCAGGTGTTCACGGAGGCTCCGCGCATGGCGGCCTTGATCGCCAAGAGGCGGCAAAGCAAGGCCGAGCGCGCCGGGCGCACCGCCGAGCTCGAACGGAGGCAGAACGATGCTGTCAGTGTGAACAATGCTGGCATCCGAAAGGACAAGGTGGTAAGGTAGAGTGCTTGGGAAGGTCTAGCTCTCCGGGATGCCCACGATCAAAGTCTTGATATTCAGAGGTGCAAGACTCTAGATGGACAAGAGTTTCCAGGACACTGCCTGAGAGAGAATCGAGATATAAACCTTTTCTACGATGTATGGGCGAAATCTTGCACCACCATGCGCCGCCCGATGTTTTTTTTGTTGAAATATTTTTTTTCAGCAGATTGGGTGTCTAGGTGCTGTGTGTGGATCATGGCGCGGTTTTGGCAATCAATAAGATCGTATGACCATAGGGTTTGTCATTGCTTCATCAACGGTTGCTTACCGTCTCCAGGTTTTTCTTTGTCACATGATGTCGGCTGAAGCCACCACACGGATAGACCAAAATACACAGGAAGCTGCTGGATCAGTCTAGGTGGAACCACTCGATGAAAGTGTTGAAGAAGCCCGGAGTTGACGGAAGTGTCGATCTCCCCACAGATGCCTTGAAGATTGAAGGGCTGGCTTCAGGGTTTTCCCAAAGACCTTGGGGCACCGCCTTGGGCCGAGACCCATTCTGCAACTGCGAGGCACAGCCAGAAGTCAAGCCAGCCAGGCACGTAATCATTGGCCAGAGCATCTTGAATGGATTGATCGGAACGTTCGTCAGCACTTGAACGTGTTACTCACCAGCTTCAACACACAATAATCCATCATCCCGTTTTCCTTTAAATCATTTTACATCTAGAAACAACGATGTTCGCCAGGCTCGTTGGCTGTGGCATGGCTTTCTTTATCAAATCAACCATGCCAAAGATGTGTGGCATCGGGCAGGAAGCAGAAGGAGCGTGAAGCCTGGGCTGATCTGCAAACTGATGATGAGGACCGTGGATCAGTGGATCGGGTGGCCATCGGAATGGAGAATGGAGAGTGGGAAGTGGCCATTCTGGGCATTGAAATGGTTCGTTCTTTTGTTTTCCCAAAAAGGCTGCCTTTGATGAGCCATATATAATCATATATACGTTATATACACACACATACACGTAGGGCGGGTTGGTCCACGGTGGTGAATCGTTCAGTGCTTTCGTTGAGGACAACTTCCCGACCTGGGAGCCTAAGATTCAACAGGCAGGTTGGGGGTCGGGTTTTGCAAGGTCTGGAACAAATGCAGAGAGTGCCCAGTTCGAACTTGAAAGTTGCTTGGGAAAATGATCCCAACCAGCGGCAGGATCGTCGCGAAGGGCGTAGGATCGTCCTATTCTCGTTATGTTTCGAAGGACTCCGAAAGGAGTGCTCACCCACAGCGGCGCTGAAAACCTACCGTTCCACACGTGGAACGCATGGAATGCGGCAACCTTTCTTGCCTTTCGTGATTGAGCACTCTCTTCTCCAGGCACCAAGCGTGGCAGTGACGCAAGGCGTGGGGGGGGGGGGCAGCTTTGACACCTTTCAGTCCAGGCGCGGCGAAACCGCAAATCGCCAGGGCTTCGCTGGGATCCACTTGGCCTTGAGGGGGAATGGCCCCTTGGCGCGAGGCGTGAAGCACGTGTGGTGCCGATTTAGGGGGAATGTGGCGGAGTCTTCGGGGGAACCTGCCTGGAGATAGACTGAGATAGACGATGAAGTACGAGCAGGACGTACTCTATTAACCTAACATAACCTAACCATGTTATTCTAGAAGTAGTAAAACCAACTATAACTATAACCATGTTACTTTATGAAGTATAACCATGTTATTCTATGTTGGTTTGGCATACCATTATTTTTGCCCGCAGTGCTATTCTATGTTGGTTTGGGGTGTCACGACACGGAATGATTGCTGCAGCAGACTCTCTTCACCAGGAAAGCGCATCTCCTTGCTTCAACTGCCGAATCCATCTGAATCCCAGGTCCCCAGTCTCTGACCTTCTGTTCAACAAGATGGCGGTGGAGAAGCAGAATGACCTGCAGAGCAATGGCACTGTGTTTGACAAGTGGCAGCTTGTTGGCAGAGTCTGTAGCGATTCAACTGGAACGGGAATGGGAGTGTGTTTCCCCGAAATCTCATGGCCTTTTGATTCAGATCTCTAGCATAGCATGAATCGTATTTTGCATGTTATCATCCGCTCTTTTCTCCGACTTCTCATGTTTGAATGGTTGTAACATGTTATAATCATTTTCATCCCGACCCTCCTTTGGTGGCCTATGTGCACGAAGAGATCGGCGATATGCTGCTAGAGTTTGGTCGGTGCCTTCGACAGATGGAGATTTCATAGCGTTCTTTCATCTCTTCACAGATCAGGACTGGGACATTGCACGTGCCTCCGACCACCCTGTCCTTGACATAGCCCATCCATCACAATTCATGACTGAGGACTGAATAGCCATGGTCAAACCAGGTGTACCGGAGTTCCCCAAATCAACGTTTGGTCGAACCACCGGACCCTGTGGAGCACCGCCGAGGTCCTGGAGCACCACAGCTACAGAGGCGGATGCAGCACTGGAGGACCACTTCCCGCCGGGGTCGACCGGGCGAGCAGTCTACCGCGCCAGCGCGCGACCTCGAAGCGACCGATGTCGGGGTGTTGATGTCGGGTTGTGGGTGCAACTTTCGGAAAAGGATTGGCCCTGAAAGGGATCAGCATATCCCATCAGATTTCTATTGTGTATACTCGGAGCAAGGGCGCTACTACGTGGAACCCCATCGCAAGTAGGGTGGAGGCCATCGCTACTAGTAACAAGAAGGCTACTAGGGTGAAGGCATGGGTCGTCACCGAGTCGCAGAAGTCACACACGGTTTGTTCGCCAGGAGTCTTCGCCGAGCTCCAGGAGCAGCGGCCAGGAGAGACGACCGCGGACTCGTTTTTTGGGTCGTGCCGCTGGTGTTTCGTTTCTTCGGCTCGGCGAGCGAGGCGACCACAGAGCAGCCGCGTGGTGGAACTTTATGGAACTCCAAATGGCCAACAAAAAGTCTTGAAGCTTTCTGGCACTCTCAAATATCTTGGCTCCATCGGTCTATCACCGAGATGATGAGTACCTGTAACCAGGAAATAGTGCAGACCCAACAGATATCAATCTTTTTTGGGGGGTTCAAGATGCCGTTTGAACATCATGGACCTCTCATGCAATCCTCTTTTCTTCGCCCAGACCGATGCTGGAAGCACGGAGGTGGGGGGGCGATCTCAGGGCCGAACAGTGCCGTTGTTGTTTCTTCAATCAGGTCCAGGTGGATTTTTGTTATTTTGTAGTAGACGTACTTTTTTTTTTGGCCCTAGAATTCTCTGCGTTTGCTGAGCAATTGGCCACGTCAGACTTGCCGACAAATCAGGTGTTTGGGAGGGCACCAAACAGATCGACACGGGTCGAACGACTTTCATGTTTGCCGCAGGCTTCCCCAAGCGATGAGCAGCCTTTGCTGGCGGCTCAGGATGACAGCTGTTGGTTCCCTATTTCAGTTATATATCTTGACGAAGGTGTACAAAACGCCTGGAACTACTGGGTGGTGCTTTGTATAGCAAAAAGGAAAAGGAAGGTTCCAAATCTCCGAATGGCTCCAATAAAGCCTTTTCTGGGATATTAAACCTCCAACCCAGCCTGTGGTAAAACAGCCCTCCTTGCCAGCCAGGCCAAGAGGCTTCAGTTCTTAGGTCCACTCAAAATGTCAGTTGAGAAGCTCAGTCATCCTCTCCAGGCCACAACCGCTGAACCAGCCGCTGCCGGCGCAGCTGCCGACCCCTTCGCAGATGCTGCAAATGTCGGTGCCTTTGCCCCCGCAAGTGCAACTGCAGCAGGTTGCCGTGATGCCAATGCAGGCTCGGCCCGGCCCGGCGGCTCTGCACCGCCCATCATGATGGGCCCATGACGACCTCATGGCCGCTTCCGTTAGTGCTTCGTGTTTGATGCGGGGTCGTTTGATGAGTTGGTGATGCATCCCAGGCCTCTCACACCTTGTGTCTTTTTGCACCAAAAGATGGGACCGTTTGGAACTGCTGATGAAGAGGTTCAGAGACTCTTTCTGGAACAACAACACTGGTTTTCCAGTGCCTCAACATGTCAGTGTGAAAACTCTACGGACACAAGCAAACATCTTCGTTTTGAAGCATGAAGCATGAAGGCATACATCCGCACAGCCTGATACCTGCTCCTGGCTTACTCAAGCCCTGGAGAAGTCCAGGCACCTCAGCCTCCGATGATGCTGCCAGTTCCGATGCCTCCAATGCCCATGGGCATGGGCATTTTGCCCGTCGTTATGTCGCTGCTTGGCGTTTTAAAGAGAAGACGGAAGACGGGCGAAGGCTGGTCCAGGGTTCCAGAGGCAGAGCGGATGCAGTAGATCTACATGCAACAAAAAGCATTGCTTTGCAAGAAAGGACACTATGCGGAGGAGAGGGAAGGGGGAGAATGCCTCGACTTTTGTTGCTTTGAGGGAGTTGCACAAGCGCGGGTGATTCACCTGGATCATGCCTGGACATGGCTTTCAGGCTTCACACATTCATCCACCATACCTTCGCTTTGCTTGGTGTCTCGTCTCGCCGCATGGCCAACGGCTCAGGATGCCGCACATGCAAACCGTGCCCAGCGTACTGCCGAACGTGATGCCCTCGGCGCAAATCGCCGTGTCGCCACAGGCTGCTTGGCCCATTTTGGCGATGTCCACAGAAGGACGAATCACTTGATGGCGAAGCCCATGATGGCGGAAACACGAAGAAAAGTAACATTTAATGATAATTGATAATCGATTGTGCTGAGAGATGAAGAAAAGATATTCCAGAGAGGGAGAGAGAGAGAGAGAGAGAGAGCGAGGGGGAGAGAGAGAGAGAGAGAGAGAGATAGAGAGAGAGAGAGCAGGAGAGGACAAAGCAAAACAGGACAAGACATGCCATTCAAGGGTGATCTCCTTCTTGATTCATGTTGTCCCTCGCGTTTCCGCCTAGCTTTTGCATATATGAGGTCTTGTTTTGACCAGCTACTGTATGTATCTGTACATCATTTACAGTAGTATAAGATTATTGTTGGCACGAAATTGAGGTCCTTGCTCCGTTATGCCGTCTAGTCTTCTCTGGAATCTCCGTTCGATCTGTCTGGTTTTCATGCATCTGATCCGATGACTTGAAACTCCTGCGGGTCTGGGGGTCCCTTCTCCTTCGTTCGACTCAGTGACCTGAGGCATCCACGACCTCAGGCCAAAGAGTCCGATGTCGGTGGGATTTTTTTTTGGATGAACAAGAGGGATTCAACAAGCTATAGGCCAAGCTAGGCCATGGACTTCGGTTCAACTTCGGTCTTGGGTGGCCGCAGAAAAGCGTTCTTTTTAGATTTGTTGAGTTCCCTCCAGTGCAAAAGCACTACTTTCGGCACTTGCAGGATTGGACTTCGCTAACACAAGCCCAGCAAATCCCGCCTTGCCGAGCTTTCAACCACAGGATCCATCTCACAACAAGGTCAGCTTCCCTTGATCTGCGAGGAGTGCTTTGTTGAAGGTAGATCAGCCCAGCAAATCGATAATTTAGGATTCCTTTGACTTCTCCGATCGTCAAGCCTGGCTTGCGCCGGCTCATGGCTTGCAGCGCCAGGCGCGCCCCCAGGCCCTGCCTTTGGCTGCGCGCACCGCTTTCACCAGAAGAACTCCAGCATGGGTGTCCTCTCACCAGATGCACGAAGCTTCACTAAGCGATACAACAAGGAGCGAGGGGGTTCGAGTTCAGAGGTTTGTTTGAGCGGAAAAAGGATGGAATGGTCTATTTTGCGGACTTTTCACATATCATACAATGCTGGTCATTTGGCATGACAACCCTAGAGCTGTCTTGAGCAAACGAGTCACCTCAAGCGGCTTGCCACTGGCTCGGCACCTCAACCAAGCTTGGTCCTTCAGGGACGCTTGAGCATCATCTCCGAGAACAAGGTGCACTTCAAAGGCACTGTGCGATATGCCGTGCCCCGGTGGCAAGAGCGGATGCACTAATCTTAGGCTCTTTGAAGGAATGTGGGCTTGTCTGCGTTTGTCTCAAAAAAGTTACTGTAGGGACTGTAGGGAGAGCTTCCAAATCCTCCTGGTCATTGCGAAGTAGGTGAGACCCAGTGGTTTGGGGCTTACTGATCTTACTGGCAACTTATGCCCCAAACCTGCAGCTGAAGGCCACTTGGTGATGCAACTGGCAACCCAACGGAGTCTTGAGCTACAGCGAAAAGCGATGAAAGCCTTTGTGTATTTTATATTCTCCCTCAGCCAAGTCGAGTCCGGAAAGGGTAAGCCAATGTTTGGCGGCCCCAATCTCTCCAAGAAAACCGTCGAGGGGTGGGATCGCTGGCACTGCAGTCGAGGTGCAATTTACCGAAGGAGAGCTTTGCAGTGCTGACGGAGCCGCTTGGCCCAAAGATGTCCTAAGTAGCAACGCAGCAACGCCCATTGACTTCAGTGGTTTCTGCTGACTTGTGCTTTTGGAGAAATCTGGTCATCTCCTGCTTTGCCCTCCTCCATAGCTTTCCACAGCTGAACCAGTCTCAACGAATGCTGAGGTAGGCTTCATCCTCTCGTCAGACTTGCCTTGCACGCGAAACATCCAAAAGATCATTTCGATCTTCGTGAATCGAACTGGCCGCATTTGTCACCTGGAGAGCATGGAGGGAGTGACGGTTCCGAACAAGTGCATCGTTTCAGAGGTGTGTGTCTGTGTGTGTGTGTGTTACCCTCCGTTTCCAGGAGTTTGTTTCTTACTCAGTTCGCAGGGGGGCACGGCGGCCGTTCACCTAGCCGTGCTAACAAAGCTACGGTGTTCGACTGGAAGAGATACTGGACGCAGTATCTTGTACCTGCAATTTTTAAATAGTAGTCACACTCAAACATTGTTGAACAATTCTTTAAAGCTGACTTTGCGCCTTGCCGTTCCATCTTTCCTTTCCTCGGGGAACAGAGTTAACTGAAAACCCAATGACTAAGTGTGTATCGCTGTGTCTCCCCACTGGGTACACAGTGCGATCCCCCGCAAGGGGGCGCTGAACCGCCACAGTGGATTCTGGTTTGACTTTTTGGTCTCACCCATGAATCAACTGATCGCAAAGTGGCTGCGCTTACGGACAGCATGCCGCCGGGCTTACGGAGAATGAAACCCCGCCCCCTCTTCTCTATCCCCCCTCTAATTGGGGTAAGAGAAGGAAATGGTACTCGACACACTTGTGTGTCGGTGCCTTTCCTTCTGTTGTCCCTTCTCTAGTCTACTCTACCCGGGCGGTTTAAGACTAAAGTCCCGCTGCCTAACTATTGCACGTAATTAACGGCTGCTAAGTATTCAGTAACTAGAGTGCTAAGTATTCAGGCACACACACACATGTACACTGACATGGACATACACCCCCTCCCTGCCCTCCGCTTTCTCTCTTGCGCTTTCTTCGTTTTCTAGGTTTTCTTTCAGGCTCGTTTCCCTGCCCCTCTTCAGTCAAGGGCTAAGTAGTCACTTTCTTCCGCTACTCCTACCTTTCCTTCTTGCCCTTTTCGTTTTGCTCTTTCTGTCTTTCTTTTTCTTTCCTAAGGCTTTTTATTAGGTGACTATTCAGGTTCTGCGAGAGAGCGCCGCGAAGCGGCCGAGTGTGTGTGTCACCCTCCGTTTCCAGGAGTTTGTGTCTTACTCAGTTCGCAGGGGCACGCCGTGCTAACAAAGCTACGGTGTTCGGCTGGAAGAGATACTGGACGCAGTATCTTGTTGCAAAATTTTAAATAGTAGTCACACTCAAAAATTGTTGAACAATTCTTTTAAGCTGACTTTGCGCCTTTGCGTTTCATCTTTCCTTTCCTCGCGGAACAGAGTTAACTGAAAACCCAATGACTAAGTGTGTGTCACACTCTGTTGTTAAGAGTTTTCCAATGTTTCCGGTTTACTTCAGACAGCAGGGGGCCATCCCCTCCCCAGTGGCGGATGGCCAACGAAGAGGCCTATGGGGGGGCTGCAAACGTACCTGCTGAACTGTTGTGCAAGCTGTTCTCCTTGCGGTTTGCTTCTCATGGTGGTTCTCATGCTATTCCCCTAAACCTACCCTTTTTTGTCTGCTAAGTATTCAGTAAAGTGCTAACGTGTCAACATTGTTAAACATTCCTGTTCAATCGATTGGATTATGGAAACTGCAAGCCCTGTGACAAAGTGTGTGTCGCTGTGCCTTCCCACTGGTTACACAGGATCCTCTCGCAAGAGAGGCACCGAAGTCATTCGTGTATCCCAAATTCCAAAGCGAAATCCGAAGGCAGAGGCAAAGGCAAAGGGAGGGGCAGGGGTGGACGAGGCCGTGGGAGATCGAAAAGATCAAGGGGCTCTCCCCACGTCTGCTGAAGTGGATGCTTCGGGGAAGGTTGCAGAGGATGCTGGGTCAGCGTCTTGAGTTCGTGGATTATGGTTTGGTTTTTTTGTTTCACCCATGAATCAACTGAACCATATGCCCCCGACCTCGCGGAATTCAGGCCGCCGGACTTACCCTTTTTTGTTTGTTAAGTATTCAGTAAAGTGCTAACGTGTCAACATTGTTAAACATTCCTGTTCAATCGATTGGATTATGGAAACTGCAAGCCCTGTGACAAAGTGTGTGTCGCTGTGCCTTCCCACTGGGTACACAGGATCCTCTCGCAAGAGAGGCGCCGAAGCCATTCGTGTATCCCAAATTCCAAAGCGAAATCCGAAGGCAGAGGCAAAGGCAAAGGGAGGGGCAGGGGTGGACGAGGCCGTGGGAGGTCGAAAAGACCAAGGGGCTCTCCCCACGTCTGCTGAAGTGGATGCTTCGGGGAAGGTTGCAGAGGATGCTGGGTCAGCGTCTTGAGTTCGTGGATTATGGTTTGTTTTGTTTCACCCATGAATCAACTGAACCATATGCCCCCGACCTCACGGAATAGAGGCCGCCGGACTTACGGAGAATGAACCCCCCTCGTTTTTTCGCTTTACTTCTAGCTCTAATTAGGGTAACAGACGGAAATGGTACTCGACACATTTGTGTGTCGGTGCCTTTCCCTCGTCCCTGTTCTAGTCTAGTCTACCCGGGCGGTGTAAGACTAAAGTCCCGCTCCCTAACTATTGCGCGTAATTAACGGCTGCTAAGTATTCAGTAACTAGAGATTTCTAACCAGGGTAACAGAAGGAAATGGTACTCGACACACTTGTGTGTCGCTTCTGTTGTCCCTTTTCTAGTTTACTCTACCCGGGCGGTTTAAGACTAAAGTCCCGCTCCCTAACTATTGCACGTAATTAACGACCGCTATGTATTCAGTAACTAGCTTTACCTTTTAACTACACCTACCTTTCTCTCTTGCCCTCTTCGTTTTCTCTTTCTGTTTTCTTGCCGCTCGTTCGGCGGACATGCATGGCCTTTTGCACCTACCTTTCTCTCTTGCCCTCTTCGTTTTCTCTCTTTTTTTGTTTTCTTTCCTTTCTAAGGCTTGTTAGGTGGCTTTTCAGGTTTTAACTCGGTAATTCGCCGTTCGTTCGGCAGACACGCATGGCCTTTTACACCTATCTTTCTTTCTTGCCCTTTTCGTTTTGCTCTTTCTGTCTTTCTTTCTTCTCTAAGGCTCTTTAGGTGGCTATTGAGGTTTCGCGCCGCAAGGCGGCCATGTGTGTGTGTGTAACCCTTGGAGTCATAGGGATCCTGTTGGATTTGATGTGGCCTTTTTCCTACGCTTTTGGTTTTTTAGTGCAGGGGGTCCAGGCAGTTGTGAGTTGTCCCTGGACCAACGAAGACGGACTCACAACTGGTGAAGCGAGAAGGGACGCCTTCTTGTGTACCTGCAATTTTCCATTTCTCCGCATGGCGTGAGGCTAAGCCTAGAACCTCCAAGACTTGGTACTTCATGTTGCTGCAGACATGCACGGAACGCCGTCAGCTTGTCGTCTCGTCGGTTCGTGGCCTTTAACTACAGGAACTCTGGTCCCCTTCACCTGGTCTTTTCAGGATTTGGGTTTCTTAGGCTGGCGTGTGGCACCGCAATCAAGTCAGTACGCATATCCATGAGTGTGTTTGGCTTCGTGCCAACCCGGGATGAGCCCGCAGAGTGCCTCCCGTGGACCCGTCGAACGGGTGTACGTCCATGTTCCCCGGCTTTGGGAACGCAGATGTCCGTAGCGGACAGCAGGTGGCCTAGGCCGTACGTCCGATGATCTTTGTCCATCTTTGGAATACCAAGTTGGCACATGCCCTTACGTGACCGCAGCGGTCAGAGGTGGCAGCCTTCGGGCAAGCCGTACGTGGTCGCAGACCAAAGTCTGTTCAAGGCTCATTGGAGTCTGTTGGACACTTAGGTGCACATACATCGTACACACTTCAACGAGGCAGGTCTTCCTAGGTTGTTGTAATGAGGTTTGGTTTCATCGGTTCCCGTCCCCTCCATTTGGTTCCCCTTTCACCTTTCCCCTTCACACACACTTCTTTTCCTCTTTCTTTTCATGTCTTCCTTTGCTTCATGTCCGTTCATCTCACTCCTTTCGTTCTTTTGCGCGTACAATGGTCCGGGCCTTAGTGTGTACGCGCACATCTACTTTCAACTCAGGTGTTAGGTCGCCCAGGTCTCGACAATGAGGTGGGCTCATCAGTTGTCCCTGTGCACTTGGTTTCCCTTTCATTGCAACCACACACACTTTTGTCCTGTCTGTCTTCCTTTTCATGTCTTCATCCTTTTGTCCTTTCTGCGCGCACATTTGCACCTTCGTCCTAGCCTTAATTTTGCCTCCCCTCGGGGAGGCGTGTGTGTGTAACCCTTGGAGTCATAGGGATCCTGTTGGATTTGATGTGGCCTTTTTCCTACGCTTTTGGTTTTTTAGTGCAGGGGGTCCAGGCAGTTGTGAGTTGTCCCTGGACCAACGAAGACGGACTCACAACTGGTGAAGCGAGAAGGGACGCCTTCTTGTGTACCTGCAATTTTCCATTTCTCCGCACGGCGTGAGGCTAAGCCTAGAACCTCCAAGACTTGGTACTTCATGTTGCTGCAGACATGCACGGAACGCCGTCAGCTTGTCGTCTCGTCGGTTCGTGGCCTTTAACTACAGGAACTCTGGTCCCCTTCACCTGGTCTTTTCAGGATTTGGGTTTCTTAGGCTGGCGTGTGGCACCGCAATCAAGTCAGTACGCATATCCATGAGTGTGTCACACATTCTGTTTCCACGCAAAAGAACTGCCAGTTGAGCGCCGCGAAGCACTCTGTTTCCAAGAGCTTTCCAATGTTTCCGGTTTACTTCATACAGCAGGGGGCCATCCCCCTCCCCAGTGGCGAAAAAGAGGCCACTGGGAGGGGGCTGCAAACGTACCTGCTGAACTGTTGTGCAAGCTGTTCTCCTTGCGGTTTGCTTCTCATGGTGCTTCTCATGCTATTCCCCTAAACCTCCCCTTTTTTGTCTGCTGAGTATCCAGTAAAGTGCTAACGCGTCGACATTGCTAAGCATTTCTGTTCAGCCAATTTTGCGCCTTTCCGTTCCCTCATTCATTTCACTGTGGATTATGGAAACTGCAAACCCTGTGACAAAGTGTGTATGTGTGCTTGAACGGGAAGAAAGGAGTGGTTTGAGTTTGAATCAGCAAGTTTAGTACGAAGCGCAAAACACAACGAATCAGATCAAATCATCATCACTGACCTCATCCGATGACCATATGAATATGGTATGGCGCAGCCAGTTGTCATGGCCTGGACTGGGGCCGTCTGTTGGTGTCCAAGGCGTCCGCGTGCACGATGAGGTGGATCGCTGCCCTCAACGTGTGAAATGCCTGGAAATTGGAGACTGGCTTGAGGTGGGGTGGGAGGCTTTAGGACGATCTTGTGATGACTTTGTCAAACGAAAGCTAAGACTAAGACTTGTGGTCCGCTGTGATAGATAGAAGACATCCTCAGGCAGCCAGGGCTTTGTGTACGCCAGCAGGTCAATTGTAGGTGCCTGATTTCCGCCCAAACCCATTGCG